GATTGGAGTTAAACAGCGTTTTCGCAGCTTCTAGTCTTATTGCTATTCAAGATGATCAACAATTTGGATTTGTGTGAATTAACACTAAAATTAACTAAAAGTCTAAATTATTGGCTAATGACAATCGCAACAAGAGTAAGCAAGAACATACGAAGGGGAGAAAATAGGGGTTGATTGGATAGGTGCAAGATACTTGTTTGGGAATTAACTCTAGTTACTTCACTCTATGGTTCAAGTGAGTCTCTCGAATTCACTCTATTATTAGTTCGAACGTTCAGTAGAAATTCCTCTCTCGATTAAGTCTCAACCTCACAATATAAACTAAGTTAAGCTCAGTGAAGATATGCAAGAATTCGTAGTGGGTTAATCTTTAGGAGAACCTCTTTCGATTATCCTCCTAACTAGGTCTAAACAATAATTCAACTAGCCTCTTTCGATTACTAAGAAGAATCAACGAATTCAAGCAATAAGATAATGCAAAATATCACAAATTATGCCTCCTTCGATTATATAAACATGTGAATATATATGCAACAATAAAAATACCCAAAATAATTCAATACATAAAACTAGAGTTAATATCTACAAACAATTCTCAAAACACCAAATCCATCAATTCCTAAGGAAGAATTACTCCATGGATACAGAGAAATTCATCACAATTAAGTTTAAGTCAAAGGAAAACATAAAACATCCAAACCCTTGTCTTGAGTGAGGATGAATGGTGAAATCCTTGTGCTCTTGCTTCTCCCTCTTCTCCTTAGCTTCCTTAGGTCTAAATTATGTCAAAAGTCCTCAAAATACCATTTTTCTATGTATATATACCAAGTAGGGTCGGGCCCAAATAAATACATCTTCTCCTACGCGAAAAAGGACACTTTTTCGGAGTTGGACGTGCACGGCCACGCATTTGGAAGTGTGCCCGCACACTTGACCACGCACTTTTCACATTGTTCTACCCCATATGTGCGGTCTGTGCACGGCTGCACACTTGCCGCACACTTTTCATCCTGTTCTGTTGGGAATTGGAAAAACCGTAAAACATGAAAGTTGTAGCCCTTTGAATTAGCTTTCCATAATATATTGTGGAGCCCAAACGGGGTTCCCAGCGAAGAGTTGTGTCTATTTTACTAGACACTGATTAATTCATTTCGTTCCACTATCATCTGTTGATCCCCGAACATGATCCTGGCTTAATTCCTTGGGCTTTTACTCAGACTTCAAAGCTCCAAATCACTTGAATTCATTCCATAACATCTATATAGCATAGAATCACGCCTACAAGGCATAAAAGACACAATTAGTACAAAACACTAACTATTAAAGCTCAAACTCAACTAACGTACAGTAAATTGGAATGTAATAATAGACTAAAATATGAGATTATAGCCTACCATCAACCGCCTGTCGTGGATCGGCGTGGCATCGTTCCCCTCATTGTGGGTGTCACTAATTGAATCCTCAAAATAAGGTTGGTCTCCTTGAATCTCAGTATTGTGTGTGTTGTTAACACCATTATCTGCTATTTCTTATGGTTTTTACTAAGACAAATAATCAAAACACGTTAGTAAAATAGGCAAGGATTAACTTAATTACACGACTGTCTAGGCCTCATGGCGGGCGCTAAACTGTTTACCCGTAAAATGGTATAATTGAATTTATACGTGGTTTTCAGACAAATGAATTAATTTGATCCTAAAATAATGACAGAAATGTGCCATACTTAGTCTTGAAATGAAGAAGAAATCACGAAAAATAGTAATTCCGGGGGCAGAGTTTCCGGGCACAATAATGATAAAACCAAGGAACAAGAAAGTAAAATTGTAGAAAGCTTTTAATCGATTATAATGTAAATTTTCCAGAAAAGTCATCCCCTTACAATGGTAATAGAGCTCACTACTTATAGTTACATGTTGGCCTAAGTAAGTTTGTTTTGATGATTGACAAAGAAACACATGCATGAATCAGGTCCATGGACAGTGTACATAGGTGACGGGCAGAATCAAGCAAAAGGCATGCACATGAAAGGAATAAGGAAAAGTGGTTATTTATGATAATCCCTGAACGAAAAAGTTGCATATTTGACAAGGAGCAGGACTCCTTACTTGAAGAGAACACTATCCAAGATAAGGAAGAAGTTAGAAGTTGAAGATAACTAGAACTCTTCCACCAAGGAAGAGTAAAGCATTAGACTCCTAGTTAATCTTTATTTACTAACTCTATATATATCAGTTCTGTTCTCTTTTACAGGCGATGCACACATACTGAAGTTAAGCACGAATTGAGAGCAAAATAGCAAGGCATTTTGTGAGCAATTCCTGTGAGATTTAAGAGTACGCTCCTGAAGCTACACGAACCAGATTGAAGAACCAGCTCCATAAAGAGTTATATGTGTCTTTCTTTATTTCTAGTTCAAAGTGTAGTAGGCATTTTGAGTTGTACCTTTCAGCTTTCTAAGAAGCAAATTGTACTAGGTACCTGAGTTGTATCTTTCAAGTTAGAGGTAACTTGAAGTAGTTGCAACTAGGGGTGTTCAAAACCGAATCAAAATCGAAAACCGAATCGAAACCGAAGCTTAATAGCTTATTGGTATCGGGTTAACGGTTTAACGGACGGGGAACAGATTGAATTTTTTTTATTAACGGNACCTAATTCCTAAATAATCAGAACCCTAACACCTAAACTTCAACCAGCAGCCACCAGCAGAATTATGGTTCTGTTTATTCGACCATAATTCAACCAGCTTCAGTAGAAATTCAACCAGCACTCCAGCAGCCACCCGCCGTACTCTATCTTGTCGACTTTCAGACTTCCAGCACTCTATCTTAGTGCCCTAGTATGAAGAGCAAGCTCATATTTTTGCTTTTTAAAATTATAAATATGGATCCAGCACAGCCTTTGTGTTAATTATTAATATATTGTTAATGAACAAGAAACAAAGGGAAGGACCGCACGTTTATTATAATTTTGCTTCGTTTGTGCTATGAATAAATTAATAAAAGCTTAGATACCATTATATTTAATGAGCTAAACTACTGAAATTGTTCATTTGCATCTAAACACATGCAATCACATAGTTATCTCAATGAAATTTGATATCCTTGTATGATCCATGTTATAGCTAGCAAGAGTTACAGTGACATATCCATTAGAACTACTTTTTCCTTAATTACATCATATCATAGTCTGCTTTGGGATGTAATGTAGACTACAATGTATTCTGCTTTTTTCACTCTACACCACATGACACACTACATCATTCTTATATAGGCGTTAACAGACATGTATGTCTGGACTCAATGTGTAATTTTTTATTCTAAATTTGTATGCTAGGCGGTCAACAAATAATTAATGCACGCAACTTAGATTGAATTAGGCCGATAAACCGCTCGATAAGAGCTAAACCGATATCAATCTGCCCGATATCTTATCGGGTGGCTAGCGGATTAATACATTTAAAAGCCGATAATCGTTAAGCTAAATCGTTAATAGTAATTAACCGTCCAATCCGCCCGATAAGCAGCCCTAGTTGCAACAGGCTATGACGTGTTGCTATAAGGGTTAGAGTTAATCCTTAGGTTTGTAAGAGGTGGTAAACTCTAGTTGTATTGTTCAAGTTAGAGTTAACTTGAAGCAGTCGCAACAGCCTGTGGTTGGTTGCTGTAATCCTTAGGTTTACAAGAGTTTGTAAACTTTGTTGTTGGCTCAGAGTTGCAGTGAAGTGTTTGGAGAAAATCCTACTGGGTAGTAAGTCGTGATTTTTTCATCTTTTGAGCCGGGTGTTTTTCACGTAAAAATTCTTGTGTTCTTTACTTTCTGCATTATTTATTCTGCAACTGTAGTGTAAGGAATGCATAGAAGAACCAGGTCCTTCGATAATCTAGTGCACGTAAAAATCAGGCACCACACAAATCACCCCCCTCTTGTGTGGTATTGGAGTATAAAACACCATTACACCTAGGGAATAAGGACCTAGGATCAAGCCCCTCTTCAATGCCAATTATGAGGGCCATTGAAGAATGTGTAACGGCATGCATGAATGCCATATCTTTTTGTACCAGGCAGTGCACTAAATGCTGTGGAATATTCTCCATGAAATGCTACCAGACGAAGGGTATTTATTGCCTCTTTATGAGTGTCATTCCTTCCTGTAACAAACAGGATAATTGCATTTGGTTCTAACTGTCCCCCGTCTTAAGTTTCACGTGTCACTCTCTTAAGCGGCCACTTAGCATAGCGTACTTTACTGTATACAGCAGCGTGACCAAATATTTTAAATTTTCTCAAAAAAATAAAACGAAATTCTTGATAATTTTCATCATTTCCATGGAACCTATGCACGTAAATGGGAGGGAAAACTATAGAAATAAGTTTTAAAAAAAAAAATAGATACCATTTATCAACAATTAGTCATTAAGTCATGATATAAAAAGTAGGAGAAAAAAATTATCAATGACATACAATATTGGGAAAACACCTAGAAAAGTAAAGATGTACCATGATGCCAAATGTAGCACCTTCCGCTATCTTTATGAGCAACAACATAAGCATTGTTTACTGTGCGAAACATGTATCATACATGTATATATGGGATACACATTTACTATAAACGAGATATACATGGTATATATATTTCATCTTATACTTCAAATTTTTAATTAAACCCACCAAATCGTCCAAAAATTGAGATCTCAAACTTCTTAAGTTATATTAAATCTATTTCAAATATCTAACAATACCCACTCGAACAAATTTCAATTTTCGGAAAACAAAATACTCCCTCTAATGCACAAGAAAAAAAATATAATGTGAATTTTGATCTTTTGCAAAGCACAGCCACAAGTGGGCAGTGTCATACTATTTTCAGTAGATTTTCACATTAACTGAGCTAAAGAAGACTAAATAGATTTTACTTTTTCCATTTTCCCTGTAGCTGCTAGAGAAGTTAATAATCAATTAAAAACAAAAGCGCACACAATATATGAAAGAAATGCAACAAAAGCATCACTAACTAGAACAAACTAGTGCTCCATTTGTTATTAAACACTTTGAAAACTAGCACAAGCAGTGGAAAAGCTCCACTGCCATATTACAGATTACAGGCAAGACAGAGCATATTGTCATGCCTTTGTTTCATACATAGACTACAGATTAGCAGTTAGGACTTAGAAAACAGCAACCTTGGACTTCTGGAGATCATTCTCTACTTTGTTTGCATATTCAGATTCTCCTTCACAAATAAAAGTTCCATTAACACTAAAGTAGTTACATCCCTTCATGCCTGCGCAACAATTAATGCATATCTTGGATCACAATTTCGGGGACAAGCTTTTGAATTTCTAGGATCAGACTCTCCTTCGCAAACAAAAGTTCCATCAACACTGAAGTAGTTACATCCCTTGATGCCTGCGCAACAATTGGTGCATATTTGATTGTTCTTCTTTTCTTCAGAACGCGGGCAAACCCCATAGGTAATTCTTGGATCACAATTTCGGGGACAAGCTTTTGAATTTCTAGGATCAGACTCTCCTTCGCAAACAAAAGTTCCATCAACACTGAAGTAGTTACATCCCTTGATGCCTGCGCAACAATTGGTGCATATTTGATTGTTCTTCTTTTCTTCAGAACGCGGGCAAACCCCATAGGTAATTCTTGGATCACAATTTCGGGGACAAGGTCTTGGATTTCTTGGATCAAACTTTCCTTTACAAACAAAGGTTCCATCAGCACTAAAGTAGTTACATCCCTTCGTGCCTGCGCAACAATTGGTGCATATTTGATTATTCTTCTTTTCTTCTGAACTCCGGCAAACTCCATAGGCAATTCTTCCATCACAATTTCGGGGACAAGCTTTTGAATTTCTAGGATCAGACTCTCCTTCGCAAACAAAAGTTCCATCTGCACTGAAGTAGTTACATCCCTTCGTGCCTGCGCAACAATTGGTACATATTTGATTGTCCTTCTTTTCTTCTGAACGTGGGCAAACCCCATAGGCAATTCTTCCGTCACAATTTCGGGGACAAGCTTTTGGATTTCTAGGATCAGACTCTCCTTCGCAAACAAAAGTTCCATCTGCACTGAAGTAGTTACATCCCTTCGTGCCTGCGCAACAATTGGTACATATTTGATTGTCCTTCTTTTCTTCTGAACGTGGGCAAACCCCATAGGCAATTCTTCCGTCACAATTTCGGGGACAAGCTTTTGGATTTCTAGGATCAGACTCTCCTTCGCAAACAAAAGTTCCATCTGCACTGAAGTAGTTACATCCCTTCGTGCCTGCGCAACAATTGGTACATATTTGATTGTCCTTCTTTTCTTCTGAACGCGGGCAAATCCCATAGGCAATTCTTCCGTCACAATTCCGAGGACAAGCCTTGGCATCTGCATATTCCACATTGCTTACAAGCAGAGACATTCCTACAACACAGCCAAATTAATTACCTCATTGGTGTTGCACAATGGATTCAAGTAGTTGGGTAAGAGAGAAACTTAAAGAAAGGAAAATATATAAAATCCTCCTCAAAGTAGTCTGCTTAAACCCGTTACAACCTTTAATTATGTGGGAGTCTTATTACCCGCCTGAACTCGTTTGAGGTGATATTATTACCTCCTTATAACGCCCAGATGAAAGACAGTGTATTACGCTCCTCTTAAAGAGAGAGATGAGAAAATATGTTTTCTCTTTTATCTTTTTCATCATTTCTTTTGTTTAATGTTTTTCCACTGTTTAAATTCTTTTCTCATTTATTTTCTCCATCCTTGCAAATAAGAGAAAGCGGGGTAGAGGGGGTTGGTATGGGGGGATGCTGTAATTCTGGAA